GGCTCCACCATCACTGCCTGAGCCTGGAGTTCGGGAGGCTTAGCCCACCGTGCCTGGTCTGCCGCACAGAGCATCAGCGCCATGTCAGATGCAGAGAGCAGCTGTCCCCAGACAGCCAGGCCTGCTGCCCCATTGACGCTGACTTCCTAACCTGCAGAACTTAAGAAGTGAGTTTCTGTCCTTTATAAACTGCTTGGTCAGGGGAGGTGTTAACGGCAGCACAGACAGACCGATGACGGATGCTGGGTGCGGACCCGGCATCGGTGCAGCCCAAGGAGCACCCGGGGGAACCAGAACTCTTTGCCTTCCGCTGGGTTGTGACTTGTCTGTTTTTTAAATGTTAAGAAAGACCAAGAGGCGCGGTGGCTCATGCCTGTAATCCCAGCTCTTTGGGAGGTTGAGGTGGGTGGATCACTTGAGCTCAGGAGTTCGAGACTAGCCTGGCCAACATGGTGGAAAACCGTCTCTACTAAAAATGCGAAACTTAGCCGGGCGTGGTGGTGGGTGCCTGTAATCCCAGCTACTCAGGAGGCTGAGCCAGGTGAACTGCTTGAACCCGCTTGAACCTGGGAGGAGGAGGCTGCAGTGAGCTGAGATCGAGCCACTGCACTCCAGCCTGGGGAACAGCGAGACTCTGTCTCAAGAAAAAAATAAAGTTTAAAAAAAAAGCAAAACCCGGGCCGGGCGCGGTGGCTCTAGCCTGTAATCCCAGCACTTTGGGAGGCCGAGGCAGGTGGATCACGAGGTCAAGAGATCGAGACCATCCTGGTCAACATGGTGAAACCCCGTCTCTACTAAAAATACAAAAAAGCTGGGCATGGTGGCACGTGCCTGTAATCCCAGCTACTCAGGAGGCTGAGGCAGGAGAATTGCCTGAACCCAGGAGGCGGAGGTTGCGGTGAGCCGAGATCGCGCCATTGCACTCCAGCCTGGGTAACAAGAGCGAAACTCTGTCTCAAAAAACAAACAGCCGGGCGCGGTGGCTCAAGCCTGTAATCCCAGCACTTTGGGAGGCCGAGGCGGGTGGATCACGAGGTCAAGAGATCGAGACCATCCTGGTCAACATGGTGAAACCCCGTCTCTACTAAAGGTGCAAAAAATTAGCTGGGCATGGTGGCGCGTGCCTGTAATCCCAGCTACTCCGGAGGCTGAGGCAGGAGAATTGCCTGAACCCAGGAGGCGGAGGTTGCGGTGAGCCGAGATCGCGCCATTGCACTCCAGCCTGGGTAACAAGAGCGAAACTCCGTCTAAAAAAAAAAAACAAACAAACAAACAAACAAAAAAAAAAAACCAAAACCCTACCCCCGCCGAACACTTTTCCCAAGTAGCTGTGCCATTGCTGTTCCCACCCTAGCGTGACACCTTCCGTCATTTGCTTTCAGCCTGGTAGGTGTATTTAATTTGCATTTCTCTTATGAATAATGGTGTCGGGCAGCTTGCCACCATGCCTTTGCCACCTGTGATCTCCTTGGTGAAATGTCCAGAGGGGTCTTCCGCCCACGTGGAGGCAAAGCCCGGCTCTGCTGCCCAGCCTTTCACCCGAGGAGCCTGTGGCGACGTGGAGAGCATTGGGTTGTGCTTTCTTCACAGTTCGGGGCTTTTTTTGAGACAGGGTCTTGCTCTGTCACGCAGGCTGGAGTGCAGTGGTGCCGTCACAGCCCACTGCAGCCTTGACCTTCACCTCAGCTGCCCAAGTAGCTGAGACTACAGGCATGCAACGCCACGCCTGGCCTTGCTTTAATTTGTATTTTTGTAAAGACAGGATCTCACTGTATTGGTTAAGCTGGTCTTGAACTGGGCTTCAAGGGATCCTCTCACTTTGGCCTCCCGAAGTGTTGGGATTATGGGTGTGAGTCACTGTGCATGGCTGGGTTTTTTTTTTTTTTTTTTTTTTTTTTTTTGCTTAACAGGATGAATAGAAATCTCCTTTAGAGGATTTCTTAATCCACATCCTTTAAGCCGAATGCACGTGTCCTGGTGAGGCTGCTCTTCTAGACGCTGTGGGCATTTTGCAGACATCCCACCAACTGCCCTCAGCGACCAATTGGAAGTCAGCCATGCTGCGCTGGTCACACGCCCTCCACGCCTTGTGTGTGCTTCCTGGGCTGCTGGGCGCTCCGGCTGCTACATCCCACACTCGCAGAGCCCGTGCACGGGCGATGGGCCGCCCGGCTGGCTGTGGCTTATATTTCTGCAGATATGTTCGCAGAAATGTGGGAATTTCCTTTGAAGCCTTGAAGGGTAGGTAGAGTTCTGTACAGTTTTTGGTTTTTGAGCTGTCCCCAGCCACAGGGCCCCCAGGAAGAGGAAATGCTGGGTCCAGGGTTCTCTTGGCTTCTGCCTTGGCTTCTGCACACACGGCCCTTGTGGCTGCTTCACTGTGACGTAAACAAGCGACACTTGCCTGCCAGCCTCGTGCCCGGAAAGCTGGATTGGGTTTTCTCATTTCTGCCTTTTCTGTTTCACACGTGGGCACGAGGATGGGGCTGCGGTACCAGTCAGCGGCACCTGTCGCCAGCGGGTCACAGAGCTTTGTGTCAGTCCTCTCAACCCCTTTAGACTCTGGAACCCTCTAGATTCTTAATTACACAGGACCCCAGAGAGCTTTTGTTTACATTAGCTTTATTGACATTTACCATACTAGAAATTAAGAAGACATTTAAAAGTATTTACATAAAAATAACTACTTGTTAACATAATTTTAAAATGAAAAATAGCTACACTTTCCAAAGCAAAAAACCTGAATCTTTAGATCAACTACATGCTTCCAGGGGAAGCATTATGGTAGTGAAAAGTGGCAACTGAACAGGACAAGCTCTGCCCCGAGACGGTGGAGGCCTGCCTGGGCGGTGACTCCCTTCAGAACGTGGGGGCTGGGGCTGCCAGCATCCATGCCAACATCTCCATCGAGGGTGAGCGCACACACCTGGGGACCTCAGAGCAGGTAAGCACGCAGCTGTGAGCGTGAGCCACCAAGCACACGGTGACCCCGGGGAGCGGAGTGGAGCCTCCGAAGGAAAGAAGGAAGCAAGCGGTGGGCAGGCGAGAGCCTGAGGACGCTGCACGGTCTGGGCTGCAAACACCTAGTCCCGCTTACCCGGGGCGCCGAGGCCACTGCACCTCCAGGTCCTCGAGCAGCGCCTGACCTATTTGTGTTTTTAGAGATGGGGCCTCGCTCTGTCTCCCAGGCTCGAGTGCACTGGTGCGTTTTCCACTGACTGGAACCTCCGATTCCCGGGGTACTCAGCCCTCGGAGTAGCTGGGATTACAAGCATGGGCCACCACACATGGCTAGTTTTGTTTTCTTTTGTTTTTTTGAGACGGGGTTTCGCTCTTGTTACCCAGGCTGGAGTGCAATGGCGCGATCTCGGCTCACCGCAACCTCCGCCTCCTGGGTTCAGGCAATTCTCCTGCCTCAGCCTCCTGAGTAGCTGGGATTACAGGCACGCGCCACCATGCCCAGCTAATTTTTTGTATTTTTAGTAGAGACGGGGTTTCACCATGTTGACCAGGATGGTCTCGATCTCTCGATCTCTCGACCTCGTGATCCACCCGCCTCGGCCTCCCAAAGTGCTGGGATTACAGGCTTGAGCCACCGCGCCCGGCTTAGTTTTGGTATTTTTGGTAGAGCTGGTGTTTCACTGTTGCCCAGGCTGGCTTGAACTCGTGGCCTCAAGTGTCTGCTCGCCTCGGCCTCCCGAAGTGCTGGGATTACCGGCGCGAGCCACCGCCCCGGGCCCCTCCCAGCGCCCCCGCCTGGCGTCCTCTGCAGCAGCCCGGGGCTCCGCGAGCTTCTCTGTCGTCTTCGCTTTAGTTTGTATCAAAGGGACTCAGAGTCACTCCGACACTGGCGGACGACTGCCGGCCTTCCACCCCGCGGCCTTTCCCACCCATGTCCAGGGGGCGAGGCGGGGGGCAGCCAGGTGGTGACTCCTGACCCCTGCCCTCCGGGGCCCCTACTCTCCCGGACTCGCCCCTCTCCTCTCCGACCCTCTCCCCTCCGAGACCCCACCCCTCCCGGACCCTCCCCCACTCCCGGACCCCTCCCCTCCGAGACCCCACCCCTCCCGGACCCCTCCCCTCCCTGGCCCCTCCCCTCCCCCACTCCCGGACCCCTCCCTTCCCTTACCCCTGCCGGACCTCTCCTCTCCGAGACCCCACCCCTCCCGGACCCCTCCCCTCCTTGGCCCCTCCCCTCCGAGACCCCACCCCTCCCGGACCCCTCCCCTCCCTGGCCCCTCCCCCACTCAGACCCCTCCCCTCCCTGGCCCCTCCCCCAACCCCAGACCCCTCCCCTCCCTGGCCCCTTCCCCATTCCCGGACCCCTCCCCTCCGAGACCCCACCCCTCCCGGACCCCTCCCCTCCCTGGCCCCTCCCCTCCGAGACCCCACCCCTCCCTGACCCCTCCCTTCTCGGACCCCTCCCCTCCGGGACCCCACCCCTCCCGGACCCCTCCCCTCTCTGGCCCCTCCCCTCCCTGGCCCCTTCCCCATTCCCGGACCCCTCCCCTCCGAGACACCACCCCTCCCTGGCCCCTCCCCTCCCGGACCCTCCCCCACTCCCGGACCCCTCCCCTCCCTTACCCCTGCCGGACCTCTCCCCTCCGAGACCTCACCTCTCCCTGACCCCTCCCTTCCCGGACCCCTCCCCCACTCCCGGGCCCTCCCCCACTCCCGGGCCCCTGCGGTCCTACAGTACACATTTGCAGCTGAGACCGTCACGGTTCTCGCTCCTGCCCTCCCCTCCCGGACACGTGCTCTCCCGGACGCCTGGACTGCAGCTCCTGCCCGGGGTCCCGAAGCGTTGAATCCACGGTCACTTCTGTGCGTAGCCCTGGTGCCCGCCGCCCAGAGCCGGACCGCACTCCTCGGCCTCCGCCTATCCCCCGGCTCTGCCCCACGAGTCGGCCCGCCCGGGCTGGCGACGCCGCGGGGTGGGCTCGGCCCCCTCCATGAGCAGGTCCCCAGCGCCCTGCTGAAATCCGCCTGCGGTCCCTGGCGCCGCCTCTAGGAGCCGCCGCCGCTCCCCTATGACACAGCAACAATAGGGGCCGCTCTGGCCCACGCACCCCGCGGCCCGCGCTTCCGCCGGAAAAGAGCCGCCGGCGCGGGGGCGGACCGGGGAGGAGCGAGCGCGATGGACGGCCGCCCTCGCCAATCGGTGGTAGCTTAGGGCGGGCCGCGTGGCCGACGAGGTCCAATCGGGGACGAGAGCGGCAGGCGGGGCGGGCCAAACGCGAGCTTCCGGCGGGGCCCGGCAGGCGCCGAGGAGGAAGAGCGATCCCGGACGGCGCCTCTTGGACGAGTGTTGGCGCGGGCCAGGTGCGGGGCCGCCGGGCCGGGGACGGCTAGGGGCGACCGGAGGCGGGGGCAGGGGCTGCTGGACCGGGAGTGGGGCGGGGGCAGCCGGGACGAGAAGGGGGCTGGCGCCGGCGCGGCAGGCGGGGCCTGCGGGGGCCGGGCCTGGCTGGGCGGGGGCTCCGGGGTCTCGGGCGCCTCCCGGGCTCCGCCTGCGGCCCTGAGCGTGGGGCTCGGCGGGGGCTCGGCGAGGCCTCTGGCGGGTCTGCCCCGCGGAGGGGGTCGCCGGGGCGGCGGGTAGAGGCTGGGGCCGGCGGAGACGGCGTCACGCCTAGGTCTGGCCCTGCTCGTCTCGGCGGGGCTGCCCCGGCCCCGCGCCGACTGCGGACGGGAGGGAAACGCGGAAAGCGGCCCGCGGTGAAAGAGCCCCCAGCGTGTGGGGTCTGTGGCCGGCCCGAGGCGTGCCCGTGTGCGCTGGGCCCGCGAGGCCTTCGGCAGCCCTGGGCGCAGGACCCCCGTTCCCAAACACCCCCGGCGGTGGGGGCTTGCCGGACCGCGGGCCGCAGTGACCGCCGCGCCTCGGCGCCGTCTCCGCGCTTTCAGGATGGCGACCTCAGGCGCGCTCTTCCCAAGCCTGGTGCCCGGCTCTCGGGGCGCCTCCAGCAAGTACCTGGTGGAGTTCCGGGCGGGAAAGATGTCCCTGAAGGGGACCACCGTGACCCCGGACAAGCGGAAAGGGCTGGTGTACATCCAGCAGACGGACGACTCGCTCATTCACTTCTGCTGGAAGGACAGGACGTCCGGGAACGTGGAAGACGTGAGTGTCCCCGAGACGCAGCAGCGGGACAGGCGACTTCTCGGGAGTTCGCGGTGGGGGCTTGGCCGCATCTGGGGACGGCTCGTGGGGCCGTCATCGGCTGCCCTGCTGATGGGTCGTCCTGGTCTTCGCGGTGACAGGGGCGTGTTGGCCACTGTGTATCTTGAACCTTCCGTGTGGGGTGCCTGGGTTGGAGGCCTCGGCCCTGGAGAGCTTGGAGCTCTGCGAAGCCGCTTCACGCCGTCGTCTTTGTTCTTCAAACTCTAAATTGTTCTTTCTTTTATTTGAGAGCCGCTCAGAACTGATCTTTTAACTCTCCGGGAATGTTGTTCCCCACACGTTGCCACCTGAAAGGCCCTCCCCCGCTCGCCTTTCCTGGGTGTCTCCCCTCGTGGCTTCTCTGCTGTGTGGAGGCCCTGCTAGTGAGGGGGCTGACGGCTTAGCTGCCCCCTTGTGCACCCCACCCCGTTAGACCCGGGCCCGGCGGCTCTGCCGCCCGCGCCGCTGACTCTCCTCCGCCTCGGCTCGCCAGGACCTGATCATCTTCCCTGACGACTGTGAGTTCAAGCGGGTGCCGCAGTGCCCCAGCGGGAGGGTCTACGTGCTCAAGTTCAAGGCAGGGTCCAAGCGGCTTTTCTTCTGGATGCAGGTATGGGGCAGGGTTGGTTTGCGTTTAGCTTTTCTCGCTGTCTGCGATTCGGTTAGTAGCTTGCTTGCTGTGTGGTGCAGTTGGGTTTAACAAGCGGGCGCTCGCCAGGCGGCCTGAGATCCTGCTAGGGCTGCGGTGCGTGTTCCCGGGGCTGCGGCCCTCTCCCAGAGTACAGAGGCCCGAGGCTGGGCTCCGCACACGCGACTGCTGTGTGTGGAATTTCCACGCAGGCAGGTATGCTGCCTCTGCTCCTTGCCAGAGAGAGGGTTCATTGAGGCAAGTAGAGACAGGGTCAGAAAGCGTGGAGCCGCGAGCCCCCGGAGCTGGGGAGCAGGGCGCCAGGGACCCAGGGACTCCCTGCCTTCATGGCATGTGCGTGCGCACACCCAAAGCAGAGGCGGGGTTCTTTGTAGCTTCCGGAAACGCATCCTCTCCATGCCCTCCACGGCCCTGCCCCTTCCCTTGCGGCGTGTCCTGGAGGCCGTGGGTGTGCCTGGGCTTTCTCTGACCCCCAGCTGCAGAGCGCTCTTCATGTCCGGAGGCCCCCGCTCATTCTGCCACCTGTCAGTGGCCGTTGGGCTTGTTGTTTGTGCTGTTACAGGCAGTGCGCAAAAGCATCGCCCGCGACGCAGTGTTTGCTGTCAGTGATCTGTATGTAGACTGAAACAGGCAGCCGCCTGTGTGGTCAGAAGGCGTGGTGGACCCTGTGACGGGCCTCTGTGGAGAGCTGGGCTGTGTTGCCGACGCTCACCTCTGCAGGCCGCGTGCGGGTGACCTGGGAGAACGAGCAGGCCTAGCTGAGTGCGCGTTCAACTTTATTTGCAGGCACAGATGGGGCCACAGTTTGCCACCTGCTGGTGTAGCACGTATTCTTCCACAGTTTTGCCAAAAAACTGTCCAACTGTTACCATCCACTCCCTTTTTTTCTTGATGACTTCCTTCACCTTTCCTCGATTTGCCATGAGGGCAGGGAGTCCCTGTGTCCCTGGTTCCCTGCAGCCTCCAGAGCTGGTGCTCAGGGATGGCGTGGGCGCGCTGCTCCCCAGCTGTGGGTACCCATGGGGCGATGCCGTCTGACCATGCTCTGCGCATGTGGCTGCACACACGCGTGTGCTGGTCTGCGAGGGCCTGCCGTGGCCCTGGGCCGTGGCGTGCTGAGCCAGCCAGTTTGTTGCCTTCCACTGGTTGAAGGAAGGCGACGCTGTGTAAAGAGCCACACCCCAGAGGATGACAGGGCTTGGCTAGGCGGCAGCTAAGCGCCTTTGGGGCTCTAGACTCCCCATCTGTGAAATGGGCAGAGGGGACAGGGCGTGGAGCATTGTGCTCGGGAGGCACCGCTGCTGTCCCCTGAGCTGCTGGGCCGGGTCGTCTCCTCAGCACTGTGTGGCTGGGCACACATGCCTCCGCCTCTCAGGTCCGTCACCTGTAAGCCAGGTCAGAGAATGGCTGTGGCGGCCCCTGCCCTCACATGCCCTGCCTCTGCAGGAACCCAAGACAGACCAGGATGAGGAGCACTGTCGGAAAGTCAACGAGTACCTGAATAACCCCCCGATGCCCGGGGCGCTGGGGGCCAGCGGGAGCGGCGGCCACGAGCTCTCTGCGCTAGGCGGTAACTGTCGTGTGTCACATGAGCTCAGGGTTTCCTGGGGGGCCACAGTCTACTGCGGGTGACTGCCCCTCCGTGTAGGTTGTTGAGAAGTGGAAGTAGAAGATGCTAAGGTAGAGGCCCCGTTTGTGAACAGGGATGAGGCTCCCTGGGGCAGTCCCTGGGGTAATGCGGGGCTGGGTCCTGCCCATTGCCCCGTTTCGAGAGTTCAAGGGCAGCCGAGTGGGGGCTGGGCAGCGCCGTGGGGCTGGCCGGGGCAGGCCTGCTTGAGCCAGGGTGTTTTCCAGGTGAGGGCGGCCTGCAGAGCCTGCTGGGGAACATGAGCCACAGCCAGCTCATGCAGCTCATCGGACCAGCCGGCCTCGGAGGACTGGGTAACGTGTGCCACCCTGGCTCTCAGGCAGCGTGTACTGGGAATGCTGCGAGGCCCAGCTATGTTTCCCTTAAGCTGCTTCTGGCTGTGTGTGGTGTCAGGAGCCTGTGTGTCCCCAGGCTGGTTCCCCTTTGGGAAGCTCTGGAGGGCCTGTGGCTGGAGCTGGGTAGGCACGGGCTTCTGGGCCCCTGGTGAGGACCCCAGCTGGGTGCTTTGGAGCATGGCTGGCCGAGCAGCGGGGCTGGAGGATGGGAGTGAGCTGGGGTTCCTGCCCAGGGTCCCCGGCCCCGCATGGCTGCCTGCCTGCTGCTGTTGATGAATGCGGAGCGCTGTGCTTGGCCCTTCAATCTAAGCACGAGTAACGGGGCGGAACAGAAGTGACCTCGCCTCCAGCACACAGCCCCAAACGTCCACCCTGCTGCCCCCCAGGACCGTGGTTCGCCACCGCCCTGCTTGTTCCTGGCTTTGGTGTTGGAAATTCCTGCTCCTCTGTGGCCTGGGGAGGGCCGGGCTCTTCCTGACCCCGTGTTCCCTTGCCCTCCCCCCGCAGGTGGGCTGGGGGCCCTGACGGGACCTGGCCTGGCCAGCTTGCTGGGGAGCGGCGGGCCTCCGGGGAGCAGCTCCTCCTCCAGGTGAGCCTCTGCACCCCAGCCCCGCCACCCGGGCACCGCCGTATTAAGGGAGGGGTAGTAGGGAATCCCGGTCTGGTGCCCCAGACTCTGCGAGTAGGTCCTGCCGTGTGGGCGCATCTGCTCTAGCCCCGCCCTCTCTCCACAGCTCCCGGAGCCAGTCAGCAGCGGTCACCCCGTCATCCACCACCTCTTCCACCCGTGCCACCCCGGCCCCTTCGGCTCCAGCAGCCGCCTCGGCAACCAGCCCGAGCCCCGCGCCCAGTTCCGGTAACGGAGCCAGCACGGCCGGCAGCCCGACCCAGCCCATCCAGCTGAGCGACCTGCAGAGCATCCTGGCCACCATGAATGTGCCGGCCGGGCCGGCAGGCAGCCAGCAAGGTACGCGTGCCAGAGCGTGCTGTTCTCTGAGCTGCGGGCCGCGGGGCCCGCTGCCCCTCACGCACGCTCACCTTCCGAGGTGTCTGCCCAGTGTGCACTGGGGTGCTCGGGCCATGGGCTGAGCCCGTTTGCACACCTTCCGCATGGGCACTTAGGCTGGCGTCAAGCTGATGGCCCTGTGTTTGCGCCCCAGTGGACCTGGCCAGTGTGCTGACGCCGGAGATCATGGCTCCCATCCTCGCCAACTCAGACGTCCAGGAGCGCCTGCTTCCCTACCTGCCATCTGGGGAGTCGCTGCCGCAGACCGCAGATGAGATTCAGAACACCCTGACCTCGCCCCAGTTCCAGCAGGTAGAGGCCGGGCCCAGGAAGTGGGCAGGAGGGAGGAGGCGGCCCTGCCCCGCCTTCACCATGGCTGGTGCCTCTTGTGCCCGGCCCACAGAGCTGGCAGCTGAGCGACGCGGCTGTGGGCGCAGCCCAGGGGGAAGCTCAGCCCTGCGCCTGGCTCTTCCTTGCAGGCCCTGGGCATGTTCAGTGCGGCCTTGGCCTCAGGGCAGCTGGGCCCCCTCATGTGCCAGTTCGGTCTGCCTGCAGAGGCCGTGGAGGCCGCCAACAAGGGCGGTAAGTGGCCGCGCCTCCGGGCCAGGGCCAGGGCAAGGGCCGTTCCTGTCTGTCCCCCGGATTTGCACAAGTCGGGGCTGAGGGGGGCAAAGGTCACAGCCTCTCTGCCCTTGATGCCATTGCGTCGATCCTGGTCTCTGGCAAGAGTTAAGACGCCACGTTGTGTCTCACATGTTCCAGATGTGGAAGCGTTTGCCAAAGCCATGCAGAACAGCGCCAAGCCCGAGCAGAAAGAGGGCGACGCGAAGGACAAGAAGGACGAGGAGGAGGACATGAGCCTGGACTGACCCGCGCGACACCCAGCGAGGGAGGGGCTCGGCCCGTGACGTCGGCAGGCGCTCGCAGGGCACGGCCCCTCTGTCCCACCCACTCGTAATAAAGTCTTTTCTTTTACCTGCCAATGCTCACGTTCTTTGCCCAAAGGGAGTTTTGGCTGAACAGGCGCTAACGTGAGGAGCTGCGGTAGGACCCCGGAGAACGTCCTTTGGGCTTGGTGCCCGTGCCTAGGCCGGCTCCGTACCTGTCTGGGGACTGCTTTTCTCTGTATTCCAGTCAACACTCAGTTACACAGAAGTTGCTTTTTAATTTTTGAGGAGGAGGAACCAGTGATTTACAAGTCTCCCACAATTAAAAATGGGTGGAAAGGCCATGACAAGTATAAAAACATTTTGCGTTATTTTATTCTTAACTTAAACCATCTCCAGAAACGAGCTCTGTCACTGGCAGAGCCGAGAGTCCCAATGAACACAGGAGAGAAGCATGAGGGCGGCGGGAGGCACCCGCACGGGCCTGGCCGGGGGGCTGAGGTGGGCTGCACCCTACGCAGCCGGGCAGCCACCAGTCCCAACTGCCCCGTGGACCTCTGCAGAGCCAGTCACGGCGACGGGGGACTGGTTCACCACCAGCCGCCTCATGCAGCCCCGGTAGGCGGGGGGCCAGGGCCGCGCAGCCATGGGCTCTGGAGGCAGGGGGGAGGGAAGGCGGCTGGTTGGAGGGCAGCCGGAGTCCACGGGCCATTCTGAGGCATCCGTGACCCACCCAGCCTCAGCCTCATTCTGCATCACAGGAGGATGGGATGGGGGTGGGTCCTGAGGGGCAGCCCCGCCCCGCCAGGCCAGGCGAAGGCCACACTCACCGGACAGGCCCCCGAGGTACAGAGGGGCTGAAGCACTGGCCACGGCCGCCATGGGACCCTCGGTGTGGTTGCTCCACGCATCCACCTCCAGCCGGAGCACATTCCTGACTTTCGTCACTGGGGGGGTGGGGGGACTCCTGAGGCCAGGCAGCTCCCAGCCCAGCCTCGAAAAAAGCCACCCCACCCAGTCTCTCCTGGCTCCCAAGCTGCAGAAGCGTTGGGGGTGGCAGGGTGCCCTGGCCACAGGATGGGCCTCACCTGCCAGCCGATGCCACTGGCCGTCACACAGCACTGAGGAGCGGGTCACCGATGTGGAGAACTCTCCTGCTCCATCATCTGCCCGAAGCAAGACCTGGCAGGGTGGGAGGTCAGGTGCTGCTCCTAAGGTCACCAGAACAAGGAAGCAAACTCCGCCCGGGCACTGCCACCCCTGCCAGACCTACCTGCTTCTCAGTCACCTCCAGCTGCAAGTAGGGGGGTGCCTGGGCCTGGCCCAGGTGCAAAATGAGGCCAGCGACAGCCAGGGGCCGCACCTCCAGCTCCAGGCTCACGTCCGGCAGTGTAGCTGCGGGGAGGGGTTGTGATGGATGAGGAACGGGGAGCCCCCTGCCCTACCCTGCTGGGGCCCAGGACGGCAGCACCCACAGACCTCGTGTGACAACTCCCCCGCTGCCCAAGAAGAACAGGCCCTCCTCCAGGGGGCCCAAGATGCAGGGTGTGACCCCTGCCAGCCGTGTGGGGGCCCCCAGGGGCCTCCTGTGCAGCCTCAGTCTCTTCACGCAGCCGCTGAACCCAACAGTCACCTATAGGGAGCAGATGGGGCTGGGATCAGGGCCCAGGGTGGCCGAAACGGGTGAACGCTGGGTGGGGGCTGCAGGGTGGGGACGCGGGCGAGATGGCTCTCACCGGGAGTTTGGAGCTGTGGCTGCTGGCCGGAAGGCCCCCCACAAAGAGGGTGTGGGGCTGGGGGTGCTCCACCCCCTGGTGCTGCCAACTCGGCCCCTCCTGGCTCCAGGCCCGGGTCCCGTCCACCAGCAGCAGGATCCGGTTCTTCTCCCAACGCACAGAGACCTGGGGGCGGGAGGCGGGGTGGGAGGTGGGGCGGGGCGGGAGGCGGGGCGGGGCAGGGGCAGGCTGTCCCTCTTCCTCGCCCTTACTGTGTGCCAGTGGCCAAGCCGGGAGCGCTGGCGGCTCTGGACACGGAGCCGGGGCCCAAGGCCTTCCATCTGAGCGACGAAGTGTCCATTACTCAGGAAGAGCACCAGGGAGGGGCTGCCAGGCTTCACCGGGGCCGTGAAGAGCAGGAGGCCTCGCGGTCTTCGCGGGAGGACGTGCAGCGAGAGGCTGGGCCTAGAAGCCCGGGTGGGTGTCAGCCTGCGTGGCCCCCCTCAGCCCACCCCAGCCAGGCCGGGCCTTACCAGTTCCTGTGTGGGGCCAGGATGCCCACAAACTCCAGGTGACTGGACAGGGAACCCCCAAACTGGTAGGTGTCTCGGGTGGTCCTGAGGTAGGGGGGCAGCATGCAGGCAGGGTCCTGGGAGGGCTGACGGCTGCGGCGGGAAGCCTGGGGTACGGATGGTGAATGCAGGGGCTGCCCGCACGGGGGCCACCCTTCCAGCCACCCAGCTCTGCCCGCTCACTGCTGGGGCGCCCACCTTCCGTCTGCTGGCCTGCAGTCCTCCAGGCCCAAGGCGTGAGGTCTGGGCTGGCAGGGCGGGGGCACAGCCTGTGCTCACATTGACGCTGCCCATGTTCTGCTGCAGATCAAACACATGCTGCGGCCCCAGGAGCCTGGGCAGGGCGGACGGGCAGTCAGCAGCTGAAGGAGGCCAGCTGGGACCTCGCCCCCCACAACAACACCCGCCGGGCTCACCGCCGCACGAAAACATTGCTGATGCAGCCACTGAAGTTGTGAAAGGTGCCAGACTCAGGCAGACCTCCCAGGAGGAGCCTCGGGGGTCCCTCGGGCTGCGGATGGCGCTCAGAGGGCAGCCCCCGGTAGGGCTTCATCTGCTGGAGTTGGTCATCAACATAAAGCCAGACCCTGGGGGGCAGGAGGCCGGAGGCTTGGTTTTTCACCTCGATGCCCACTCCCACCTCAGAGGGAGACAGGCAGGTCCAGGCGGGCAAGTCTCCCACTGAGGGGCCAGCGGCTGGGCTCACCCTGTGGTGTTGCTGTAGAATGTGACGTAGTGGGGGACACCATCGGCGAAGCCCCCCTGAGTTTTCACCTCCGTTCTCAGGAGCCGTAGGGTCACATGGCCCTGCTGCAGGGACACCTGGCATGGCCCATCCTGGGGACAGCAGCCAGGTCAGCTGGCCAGCAAGCCTGGGGGTCCAGACTTACTCCAGCCACCCCAGTCCTGACTGCCCCCACAGCCACCACAGGGTGGGGAGTGAGCAGGGTCAGTGCCGCATGGGTGCGAGGTCTCACCGGTGATGGCCGGTAGTAGAGGAGGGCACTGTCCTGGGTGCTGTGGAAGCCGAAGCCGGAGTAGACGTCACCAGTGAGGGGTGCCACGTTCGGGAGCGCCAGTGGAAGGAAACCGTGGCCGTGGAAAGTCATGGCACGCTCCACCTGCAGGGGGGCCATCCCTGAGTGCCCGCGGGCACCGTGCATGTCCTCAGATGCCACCCCGTCCCAGGGAGGGCTGCTCACCAGCAGGTCAGCGGTGCAGCCGGCGCTCACACCCGTCGTGTTCAGCCGCTTGAGGTCCACGTACTTGCCCAGGGCCTTGATACCTTTGATGCAACCTCGGACTGAGCCTCCAGTGGGGAAGAGCTGCCGCAGGCTGCAGGGACGTGGGGACGCGGGTCAGGGTGCCACCTCCCAGCCCAGCCTGCCACCCCGACAGCCTGGCCTCACTGCCCCAGCCCTCAAGTGCTCACCTTGGGGGCAGCTGGTCGGGCGGTGCGCCCCCCAGGTAGTAGGCATCGGCCTGCTCCAGGGCACTGTCCTGCTCCACGCTGAACACCGTGGCCCGCTCCACGCGCACCAGCACGCGCTTGCGGCTGCCCCCGAGCAGGAACACCTGGATCTGCAGGACCGGTGGTGGCTCCAGGGCCCGCTGTGTCCCTGTGGCCTGCCTCACCCCCGTCACCCCACCTCCTCTCCCTGCCGCCCTGGTCCCCATCCTGGTCCTACCGCCTTGCTGGCTGCGGTTAGGGGCGGTGGGGGTTGCAGCGGGACAGCTTCCTTCAGGCCAGCGCCGAAGTCATAAAGCAGCACAAGGCTGCCGTCTCGCAAGGCCAAGCATAGGAACTGGCTCTGCAGAGAGGAGCCGGGGTCAGTGTGGGGCGTGGTGAGCGCGGGGCGGGGTCAGCGTGGGGTGGGGTCAGCGCAGGGCGGGGTCAGCATGGGGCAGGGTCAGCACAGGGCGGGGTCGGCACAGGGCAGGGTCAGCGTGGGGCGGGGTCGGCATGGGGCGGGGTCAGTGTGGGCGGGGTCGGCACAGGGCGGGGCCAGTGTGGGCGGGGTCAGCACAGGGCTGGGTTGGCGCAGGGCAGAATCAGTGTGGGCAGGGTCAGCACAAGGCGGAATTAGTGTGGGCAGGGTCGGCGCAGGGCAGGGTCAGTGTGGGCAGCATCAGCGCCAAGCGTGCCATGTGGGGGGTGTGCTGGGCGTACCTGCTGCTTCAGGAAGAAGAGGATCCCGCTGTAGGACACGAGCCGCAGCTCTTGCTCGAAGCGCTTGGTGGTGCTCATCTGACTGTCGAAGGTGATGCGGGCAAAGCCGGTGCCGTCCAGGTAGGAGCCGTCTGTGAGCCACGGGTCCCCAGTGGACTTGGAGCTGCAGGTCAGAGGTTCGGGGGTCAGCAGAGGATAGGGTGGGCAGAGGCAGGGAGGGGAGGCCACACGTACCGGGCACAAGGCCTGTCGACAGCTGTGTCCAGCTGGAAGGTCCTCTCAAAGTTGTAGAGGCTGACCACCTCCTCGTTCAGTGTGTCCATCTCGATGCAACCCCGGTAGCCGGGGAAGTGAAGCAGTGGCGGGGGCTGTGGGCACAGGGCTGGGTCAGGGCATTTGGCCCGAGGCTCCTCACCTCCAGGATGGACCAAGGGAACGTCAGACGACAGCAGGACGGACCAAGGTGGAACCCATGACTCTTCGGGACACAAGAGACTCGGGGCTGCGGAGTGCTGCCCTGGCCAGGCGGGCTCACCGTGAAGTTACTGGGGTACCCCCCGACATAGAAGACGAAGTCCTCTGGCTGCAGGCTGAGCAGCCCCTCTGCCCCAGGGGCCACCGTGTCACCCTTGGTTTCCT